ACACCTAAACCCGATAAAACCTACCTTTTTGGTGCTCCTCTTAGTATGATAACCCCAAACCCTAAGCCCTAAACCCCAAACCCTAAACCCTAGAGCCCTAAACCCTAAACCCTGAACCCTGAACCCTAAACCGGTAGTCAGCTGGCTTTGAAAATTCTTGTAGAGGATCAGCCCTGAGACCTTTAGAAAGGAGTCTACAACAGCTTTTCTCGAGGCTTTGTAGCGGTTTTGTAGAGGTTTTCTAGGGTTTAGGTTTAGGGTTTAGGGTTTAGGGTTTAGGGTCCGACATACATAATGACTAGGTACAGGTTTCGGGGTTTAGAGGTTTAGGGGTTTTTGGGCGGATTACTGTGATTAGGATCTGGGTTTCAAGCGCCGGGATGTATGGCCCCGTGAAGGCCACCTACATCAGCAAAGGAAGCTCGATCGGTTTAGGGTTTAGGGCCTAGGGCTTAGGGTCTAGGGCCTAGAGTCTAGGGATCATGTGTCACTAAACCCTAAACCCTAGTGCCATTCTTGGTTCCATGCTGAGTGTGGTTGCGGGGCGTGGAACAGCCGTGCTGCATCATCCCCTGCGGATATTTTTTATAAAACCCTAAACCCTAAACCCTAAACTCGACGACCGTGCTCCCTGCTCGCTACTTAGGCCGCGGGAGGGATGTCAGCATCTTGTCTGATGTGTCCGCAATAAACCCTCAACCCTAAACTCCACACCCTAAATTCCAAACCCTAAACCCTGAACCCTAAACCCTGAACCCTACACTCCAAACCCTAAACCCTAAACCCTAAAACTTTTAGGGCTTAGGGGTTTAGGGCTTAGTGTTTAGGGCTTAGACACTCCTTTCTTCTCTAGGATCCTGGGGGGCTTGTAGTCACGAGTTTCCCAATAAATTGGACACCAGCTGCATTGCTCCTTCCGTCGGTTTAGGGTTTAGGGTTTAGGGTTTAGGGTTTAGGGTTAGGGTATTTGGGGTGTCTGACAAACTCCTGCATTGCCTTACATAACCTCAAGTATGGGTAGGAATGGTATACTAGTTGATGTGGCCAGAGCAGGAGTACTTCTGGGCTTTTTTACCCCCCCGACCCTAAACCATAATTCCTAGACCTGAAACCGAACACCCAAAACCAACAACCCCGAAAGCAAAACGACAAACCCTAAAGCCTAAATCCTGAACCCTAAACACCTCAACCTTAATCCCTAAACCCGAAACCCAAAACCGTGCAGGAGCCACACTTGCTTCACGCACTCATCTACGAGCGAGGAGACGCCCTCGCCATCACCTTGTGAATCTCAGAGTCTAGAATACCCAGGGTTTACGGTTTAGGGTTTAGGGTTTAGGGTTTAGGGTTTAGGGTTTAGGGTTCCCTTAATTAAGGAATATACCTTAAATCTTACTAGGGTTACGATTATAATTTAAGGTATATTCCTTAATTAAAGGGTTTTGGAGTCTCTGGGTAGTCTAGAATGGGGCCTGAGGTCTGGGGTTTAGGGCTTTTGGGCTTATGGGGGTAGGGTTCAGGGTTTACGGGTTAGGGGTTTAGGGCTTTAGGGTTTCAGGCTTTAGGTTTGAGGGGTTAGACGTGTAGAGATTTCAGAGGTTTAGAGCTCACATATAGGGCCTCACGGCCTTCGAGTTTAGGGCTCTAGGTGAATCTCAATAGAAGCGAAAACAACCAGAATAGGGCTTTGGGTGTGTGCAGAAGTCTGTGACGAGCGACGCGACCGATGACTTGGGCATCTCAGGAACGTAGGGTTTTGGGGCACATTGACGTCTTACTCAACTACATAATAATTATCCCGGACGTTATTCCACCGACCTCTAGATTATCTCAGGACAAGCATGCACGATGTCAGCCTCTATGCTGAATTATCTGCAGGCCTAAAGCCTAAACTTACCTGTCCAGTACCCTTGGGGGGCTAAAGCTTAACCTTTGTCATTGTGTAGGATAACAGTCCCCCCAGAAGGTTTACAGGTTACCTACTCTACTACTTAGTAAACCCCGAACCCATAATCCTAGGCGGTCGGGTAGCCACTAGGTAATATCAGGGTCTTAAGAATTGGAATAAGTGAATAGGGTTTTGGGCTCCTTTGCAGTATATTCACAAGAAGGAACCCCTTGGAATAGTATTGGTAATTATTTCGGCTTCTATATTTAACACCGAAACCCAGAGTCTTAGAACCTACTCGCCCTAAACGCCCTGAAGCCCTATACCTTCAACATCTGCAAGCCCAAAAGCCCTAAACCCAATTATTTAGGCTTCTGTGTTACGTCTAGAGGGCCCCTTTTCAGGTCCCCAAAATCGCGGCACCCAACACCCTAATTTAGAAAACTACGCAAGTAGGGCTTCGGAATTTGTGGAACTACCTGGTGACTATGTACCGAAGGGCTGAGGCTTTATTGAGCCTAAACCCTCAACCCTGAACCCCAAAACCCAAAACCCTAAGCCCGAATCCCCGCAGAATCCGTGTAAAGTCTCCAGAACTGCTCGACGGATCAAGGTTGTTCTAGACTTTGAAGTAACCAGGGAGAACAAAGTAGAGACTTAAATTTCATAATGGTTCCCTTAAGGANNAAAAATGTATTCAAGTATGGTACTCCAGAACCCAGAAACACTATAGCATACCCCCAAAACCCCCGATCAAGAACCTTGATCCAATGGTAGAATCCTGACGAATTCTGAGGCAGTGTTGGTCGGCGGGCTACAAGTTGACCCCCCAGCCGACAGCCCCTCGGGAGTCCAAAGGTAGCTCTCTAGAGATCCGAAACCTTACTCAGTTCATGGTTTAGGGTTTGGGGTTTAGGGTTTAGGGTTTAGGGTTTTGGGTTTAGGGTTTAGAGTTTACCCTTAGCATCAAAATAGACATATATAATAGGATCTTTGGGCCCAAAAGCCTTAAAATATGAGTCCTTTGAGGGTAAGGGTTTTGGGGATACAGTTCACCCTAAACCCTAAACCCTAAACCCTAAACCCTGACAGGGACGCAAGTGAGCTGCTCGAGAGCGCACCTGCGAGTCTTCTCAGCTCGTCGAGGTGGTTCATCGTGACATCAACGATATCCTGGCTTGGGCGTTTGGGTTTTTAGGGTTTTTAATGTTTTTAGGGTTTAGGGTTTAGGGCTTTTAGGGTTTAGAGTTTAGGGTTTAGGGTCTAGGGTTTAGGGTTTTTGGGTTTTTGGGTGTAGGATCCTGTCTCCAGGTTTCATTACAGGATTCTACGGAGCTACGTCACGTTGTGGCGCTACTGGCGGTTCGGATTTAACTGACTTTGGTGGTTGTAGCAGGGGGTTCTTGAAGAGTTCCAAAGCTTGTCGTGTGCAGGCGGGGCTTAGGGTGTAATGTAGGGGCCTTAATAACTCGAATAGGGTTTTGGGGATTCTTTATTATAAGTACATTATAGGATACCCCCCCTAACCCCTAACCCTAAACCCTAAACCCCTAATTATTAAGGCCCCTATATTAAGGATGTGGTGTCTCAGGGTTTAGGGTGCAACATCAGGTTTCGGGTTGAGGGCTCGATTTGGGGGTTTAGGGCACTTAGGGTTTAGGGCTCGTTTAGGGTTTGGGGTTTAGGGCTCGATTTGGGGGTTTACGGTTTACGGTTTAGGGCTCGGTTTTGGGGGGTTTGGGGGTCCTTTCAAGCCTTCTGGGCCAAGTTGTGAGACGGAGTGAATTCGACGGCTTCCTGCTTCAATTCAGCAAGATTGCCCTAAACCCTAACCCCTAAACCCTAAACCCTAAACCAGCTCGGATGAGGAGTCGTGCCCTAGAGGGAAGAAGCACACGAAAACATGCTGTCAACTCAGTGGTGTGATGATGATGGTGGTGGTGATGATGATGAGGAGAACAGTGATGATGGAGATAACAGCCGTGATAACAGTACTAGTAGTAGTAGAAATAATGGCAATGATAACAATGGCAATGCTAAAAAAGCGATGGTGCCGGTTATGAAACAAAGGATCATGATGATAATGAGAAACGTGGGCATGGTGATGATGGTGATTGATGACGATGATGGTGGGAATGCTATGTCTAACCCTTCAGACCACGATTTTAGACAGTTGAAAGCCCCATGTAAATGGTCTGTTACCCTAAGAACCCTACAACACCCTATAAGGAACCCTTACAGAACCCTGATAGACATCTCTTTTGGTTTACTGGAACCCTCAAAGGAATTTAAAGGAACCGTTAGGGGTTCTTTACTAGCTACTGTCCCCTTCCAGGGTTCCTTGCAAGGGTTCCATACGGTTGATGATATAAATCCTACATTTGCCCATCATAAGGAAATACCGTAAATCCCATAGTTTAGGGTCCTTCATTTAGTGCAGGATGTATATCATCAACCGTACTATCCCTTTCTAGGGGTTTAGGGTTTAAGGTTTAGGGACTCCCATCGAGCTCCTTGGGGCTGGTCACCGTCATGAGCTGCAGCTTAAAGCCCATGATCATCAAATCAAACCTCCGCCGGCGTGGGGCTTGCGGGTTTCTACCAGGCCAACCCTAAACCCGAAACATTAAACACCTAAACCCCTAAACCCGAAACACCTAAACCCTAAACCCGAAACCCGAAACACCTAAACCCTAAGCCCGAAACACCTAAACCCCAAAC